CTCTCTCTCTCTCTCTCTCTCTCTCTCTCTCTCTCTCTCTCTCTCTCTCTCTCCCCCCCTACGGCGCGCCAAGATTCTTTTATTTCATTTTTTTTTCTTGTGTTTATTTTTTTTTTTTTCTTATTGTGTGAGGTCACACCCCTCACTTGGCGGGCTCCGGCCAAGCAGCAGCAACCGGGCCTTCCCTTGGCCGATCCCCCTAAGGCTGCGGCACGTATACGGGAAGGCCCGCGGCCTAGAGCTGAGCGAGGTACTGGTGGTTTAATTGTTTTTGCTGAACGCTTCCTAAACTGAGGTTTGGAAGCTATTTCGAAAATCCTTATCATATGTCATAAATTTCTAGTTTCGTCAGTGATTCCTCTAATTTGGAAAGAATCGATTATCTTCTGAATTTTGATTCGAGGCTGAAATTCAAGAGGTAGTTTCTATTTTGGTCGTGTGCAAATTGATTGGTGTGAGTAACAAGTTGAGTAAGATTGATTCTTACTTAGTAAGTTCTGAATTGAATCTGTAATCTGGTTTTACATAGGTTAAGTGGAAACTTCTTGTTGGTTGTTGGAATCAATTCTAGTTTTGATTTTGATGTCAAATCGAAGTTTGAGCCTCAGTTTGTGATTGTTGGGAGTGTTTGGGGTTATAAGTGTCGGACAGAATACCTCCTTTAGGGTTGGCGCCCCTCTCTGCGAGTGAGTGAGAATACCGTATGCGGTTGAGGGAGAAGAAGTGGTGTTGGGGGCTGTTTTGAACTGGGGCGGGGAGGTGAGGGGCACCTTCCCACGGAGAAAGTAAAATAGACAGGGGTTTGTTTTTTGAGGAGAGGAGGTATCCCTTTGGTCCTTGTGATTCCTTTATATGCAACTGAGACTTCATTGGGCGCTGGAGTTTTTGCGGAGAGAGAGAGAGTAGTCCTTCCCTCTCTATCCCTCTTCCTCTGAGAACACTGCGCGTTGAATTGTTTAATGGGTTTTATCCACTTTTATGAACTTTGATTCCCTAATTGGAAATTCTCAAAGGTTTCATGTTTGTTGCTGGGGGTTGTGGGGGTGGGATGGTGGGAGACGACGCGCTCTGCGACAAAGGGGCTAGCTTGTAGAGTTGTAATAAGGTACAGCAACGGTGGAGATGGTGGCTCCATTGTGGTAAGACTTGTCGGAGTAGGGCTGAGAAGGTTTTTGTGGGATAGCAGCAACCAGCGGCTGAAGCAGTTGAAGGAGAAGGGTGATCGGACTATAGCTATGGCGTTGATTGGCGGCTTGACTGTTATTTGTTTTAGTCTTGAATGCCGGTGGTTTGCGAATAGACGAGGCCAGAACGACGCTGGTCGATGATGGGGCTTGGTTGCGCTGCCCTGTAACTCGAGCAGTACGAGGGTTTGAGACCTAGTAGAGAGATCTGGGGGGTTGTCGAGGGTGGAAGGTGCTCCAGTGTCTTGAGCGAGTTGGTGCCTAGTCAACGTTGGCCGGAGCTGGGGCAGGTCGCTCTGCCTTGTGGCCTAGCAAGTGGGTTTCTTCTGGGGTGGGTCGCGCCACTATGTAACCTTGCAGTTGGGGGCGTGAGGCCTGGTAGAGATTGGGCATCAAGGTATAGGGATGAGGCACATAGGGTTGGACCGATGAAAGACTCCAAGGCAAAGGTTTCTTCGGTCTGAATGTTCCAAGACTTCTGATTTGAGTTTGGGATAGAAAACTTTTTGTTTTCTGGAGTAGAGGGCACAATGGTCATACTTAGCCTAGGCTCTCAACAGGGGAAGGGTTGTTTTTTAAGGTAAGTAGGTTAGAAGGACGACACAGGCCGGTGCTGGAGTTTTTGTTCTATGACCTAGGGGGAGCTTGAGGCCTGTGGAGTTATGTCGAGGGTGGAAGGCATAACCAGACCGTCCGACGTAGCCAGCGTCGGGGTATTAACCCGGTAACCTGGTGTCAGGGGCTTGCCGCTAAGGGAAATGTCGAGGGAGGAAGGCACATCCTGTCCGTCGGAACTAGGTTGGTCAATACTGGGGAAGGTTGTGGCACCCTGTTACCCTAGCAGAAGGGGGTATGAGATCGAGTGAGTTCTGGTACGAGGACTGAAAGCCTGGACTGACGTTCCATTTGTTGAGGGGGGGATTTTTGGATAGTAAGTGGGGTCATTTTTTACCCTCTGCTCTCATATTTTTCCAAGCTTCTTCAGACCTTTTCAAAAAAAAAAACTTATATCGGCCTTTTCATTCCTGCGGTGTAGCGGACCCACCAGGTATGGTGCTCCGCTAGTGGTAGAGATGGAGATGGATGAAGAAGGGGGAGCAAGATGACGCACAGCGCAGCTCCCACGCAGGACTCCAACGCACGTACTCCAGAAATGTGCAAGTGAAGAATGAGCCTGAAAACAGACAATGGCTGGGGTATACCCCAGCGGACTGACAGGACTGGACTGGACTGGCTGGTACCGACAGAGGTACCGGCCTGGACTGGCCTACCCCGAATACAACACAGGCCTGTGAGAACAG